CATCTTTGCATGTTTTGTCCATAATATAAATGAGGAATGCAAAAGTATTTTTGAAGATATCAATTTACATTATCATTGGAAATACTTTGACGACTTCAATTACAATGTAAGAGTATAACTGATCATCAATGGTCAATAAACCCATTGATGATCTCGACTGCGAGTAGCCGACATAAGAGTCAGTTGTAGACGGATTAAATGTCAAACTAGGTCAAGTGTACTTGGCAACATTAAAGAGAAAAAACATGATAGAAAATATGGGGAGTAGAAAAAAACAGTACCATAATGATTCTTGTTTGCTGTGTTTGGCAAATGTATGGGATTATTTCTCAATTTACTAAGTTACCAACAAATTTTATCTTCGTACGATGGGCAAACTATAGATTCAGCATAATTTAGGAGAAATTACACAATTAGTCCCCAATCTGAGGTGGTTGCAAGGTCGTCACAAAGTAAAGATTCAAGTCGAGCGACATTAGGGTTGTGCATGGTCCAATTCGATTTGTTTCCAATATAATCGAATTGGAGCCGAAATTTTCGGTTATTTAGTAAGTGGAAACGTTCGGATTTGGTTTGTTCCATTTGGGTTTCGAGTTCTGTACTATAATTAAATTTTTTTAATATCTACAAAGATACATTAATTCAACTAATGACATTTCAATCTTAACCCTTACAATATAGCATTGTTCAGTTTTATGTGTCTTTTGTGTCTCTCTTTACTAAATTCTTTATAGATTTGATTGTTAAAATCACAAGAAGAGAAAGACAGCGAGCTCACAATAACTAAGAGATGCGTTGCCGAGCTTTAATTTGATTTTTCTAGAAAGGTAGAAACAACACTACGGTAAAATAATAGATTTGGATAAAACTTAGGTCAATTGATTAAACTGAACTTGAACTGAAAATTAGAAATAGGAAAAATCATTTTTTTGAATTTGAAATAAATTAAATGGTTAGCAAATTTATTTAGAAAAAAAGTAAAATAATTAGGCTTATTTAAAAAAAATTAGTTAAAAAATTAGGAAGATTCGATTCTTATTCGATTTTGGTTTTTATCTAGAATCGAATCGAACTTGTTGGTTTTCGATTCTAATACATGTTCGGGTATTTAACTTATAATGAACCGCTCGGTTCTATTC